CCATCCAGCCCCTTCCCACTGCCGGGCACCCTGTCCTGCCCGTCGGCTTGGCCGCTGCCCATCCCGTCCCTCCAGTCGGCGCTGGGGACGCACTGCGCCGAGTCGCCCGCCTCGGCGTCGGTCTCCATCATGGGCCGGGAGGTCTGGCAGGCCAGGTCGCAGCGCTGCAGGTTGGAGAGCAGCACGCGGTTCTCGTACTGCAGCTTCTTCACCTTCCCGCTCAGCTCGCTGATCTGCACCTTGGCCGTGGCCAGCTCCTCCTGCGAGGGCTCGCTGACCACCGAGCAGCTGTCCTCCGACAGCGTCACGTCCAGCTCGTGGTCCGACTTGTACTTGGACAGCTCGTTTAGGAGGAGCTTGTTCTGGTCCTCCAGCTCCAGCAGCGAGCGTCTCAGGAGCTCGGCCTCCTCCTCCACAAACTGCAGGTGCCGGCGCAGCTCTGCCACCGTGTCCCCAGCATCCCCACAGCCCGAGATGCCCGCCAGGAACCTCATGTCCTGTCCGGGCAGCTCTCGGTCCCCCTGACCCTTCATGTCATCCATCTCTGCCCTCAGCCCGCGGTTTTCCACCTCCAGCTCCACTATCCTACGGCTGAGGATGTTGGCTTCCTCCTCCACCAGCTTGAGGTGGACCTTCAGCTCAGCCTCGCGGGAATGGGGCGAGTCAGCCAGCTCCTCCACGGAGAGGGAGCTGTCGAGGTCCCCATACAGGGACCTGTACTTCAGCAGCTCCTCCTTCATGCCGTCGTTCTCCTTGGCCAGCTTGGTCAGCTTCTTGCACATCAGGGCCGACTCCTCCTTGGCAAAATGCAGCTGGCACTTCAGGTCTGCGCTGTCCTCCTGGGGACCAAGAGGGCACGGGCTTTAGAGAGATGCTCCCAAGGGCCATGGTGGCTCCAAGTGAGCTCTGGGAACATGCTGCTCTCCCACCATGCTCGTCCCAGGGGATCTCCAGCCCCTGCTCATGGAGGGGAAAAAAATATTGAGATCCATCCTGCAGGCTTTGAGGGAAAACCTGGAGATAGAGCAGGATACCTGAGCAAGGACACCCATGTATTAAGCCCAAGGAAGGACATCAAGTCACTGCTGGGGATGAGGGGACCAGCCCAGCCCCACTGCAGCCTGATCTCCAGGGAAATAAAGCTGTCAGCCTCTGCAGAGGAAAATCAAAGCCCCCACCAAGGTTTCCTCATGAAAGCTGGCAAGCACTGAAACAACTGATGCTGCTGGATCCTCACCGGGGCTCTGCTTCCCCCCAGTTGTGCTTGCTGTCACCACCTTGCCAGGGGACAGAAAACCCAGGCAAACCTCTGATATCATCCCACCAGTCCCTTCCTGAGCACCGACTTGGGACTATTCTCCACATGTTTCTCTTTTAAATTTAGCAGTGAGGATCTGGGCTGTTTGCCCAGGGAGACTGTTTCCCTGCTTCAGAAAGCTTTTTGGACAGAGGACCAGGATTTCCTGAAGTCCAGCTTGTGGCTTCCCATGCTGTGGGGTCACCCAAGTGCTCTGAGCTCCAGCGTGGGGACTGCCAGGAAAGGGACCTGTGGGTCTGTCACCCTCGCTCTGCAGCACCCACTGGTGCTGGAGGTGGCTGAACCCATTGGCCAGGTGGCTGCTGGCCCTGGTAGCCCTCTGCCTGGCTGAACTCATGCCTTTCCCAGGTTCCTGGGCTGGCAGAAACAAGCTGTCCCCCACTTCAGGTGCTCCTGACCCCCCTAGCTATGCCCACACTCACCCCCAAACCCCACAGCAGCGATTTACTCTGCAGACTTCACAGACTGCCTTGTATGGAGGCCAAGGGCTTTGGGGGGGTCCTGTGAGTTTGGGGGGCCACTTCATTCCCCAAATGCCCCACAGAGACCACAGGAACCAGCCTGCTGCTCCTCCATGCTTGTGCTTGGAGACGTGGCCTTGCTAAGGAGCATTAAAGCTGTGCCCCCCCTAATGAGCTGTGGAGATTAGGGGAGGGCCAACACAGCAGATCTCCCCGCCCGGGGTAGACATGACCTCAGTTCCTGTTTTTAAACAGGGGAAGAAAAAAAAAGCAGCAGCTTGGCATGTCCCTCTGCTCCTTGGTATCACTGGAGGGACACACAGGTCCCCCAGAACACCTCAAGTGCTCCTGGGGTTCAGGGCAGATCTCAGCGTTCAGTCTGTCTCCCTCAGCTCCTTTTTGGGAAGCACCAGTGCTGGCCCAGTGTGGCCAGGCAGGAAATGGGGCCCAGGAAGCCAGGGGTGAGTCACCAGCATCTGTGCCCTCAGGGCCACCAGCCATGGCCTCGTGAGAGGGATTGGCTGAGGGGGCCACATCCAGGGGCATTTGCACCCAAGGAACCTCGGGGTTTGCTTTCCAGCACCAGCTCCTTCCTGGAGCATCGGTCCCACCACAGAGCTGGGGCCACATCCAGCCCCATAAGGAGTCTCAGCTCCATGGAGAGATGGGAAGCAGAGGGGAGGTTTTACTGCAGCCCAGGGCTGGGATTTGTTCCCTGCCCTGGGAAGAGGCAGAGGAGAAGCTGTATTCCAGCCTCGGGAAGGGAGGTGGTGGAGGAGCTCCCAGACAGCCTCTTGGCTCACAGCACAGCTGGTGTAGGTGCCAAGCTCTTTGGGGAAAAGGAGGGGCAGGACTCTGGGACCATCAGCTGCCCTGAAAGGGCTCTCAAGGATGGACTCACGGGGAGATGATAAGTAAAAGCCCAAAGCTGTCTTGGAGGGCTGGGGGATCCCTGGCCTGAGGGTGGGCTGTGCCAGCAGTGACACAGGTCACCTTGCAGTCCCCACCACGGGATGCTCCCAGCAGCATGAGACAGGAATGACTCATGGGTGCTTCACCCCTCCCCTGGCTTAGGTGGAGCCAATCTATTCCCAAGGTCTTTTGCCTTTGAAAGAGGATTTTTCCAGCATTAAAACACTTGCATTTCTATTCCCCCAGCAGCGGCTCAGCCCCTCCAAGCCCCGGTAACACCATTAGTGAGTCACAGCAGCTCATCCCAACAGCAAGTGACAGCTGAAATCCTGCTGCAAATCCCTCCTCACCAGCTCTGCCCCAGCAGCTTGGCACCAGGCAGGGACATCGTGGCCTCAAGCTATTCCCCACGGGGACCCTCAACTCCCTCAAGCCCCTCGGAGCACCCTGGAGCACCCTGGAGCACAGCTGCTGGCACGGGCAGGAAGGACTCAGGCTGAGGCTGCAACAGGCACAACCCCAGAGCAGAAGCAGCTTTGAAATGTAAAAGCCAAAGTCCTTCAGCTCCTTGCTGCAGTCCTGACACATGGAAAGGGTTAAAGCCACAGCCAGTCACTGATGCTCCATTGATAAAGAAGACAAGGGATCGGCTGAGGACAATGAGGATGGCTGAGCAGATCAATCCCTCCTTATGCAGGGATTCTGAAAGGAAAGCCCTGCCAGGGGAGGTGTAGTCTTGGGCTGGCACCACGGCCTGGGGTGCTGGGGGGTCACCATGGTGTGCCCCAAATGTGCTGATACCTGCACTGATGGCTTCTTCTCTGTCTTCCCAATGGAGCGAGACCCCCGTTTCTTCAGGGAATTCTGCAGAAAGAAGGGAGAGCTGTTACCCACAGCAGTGGCACAGCACCCCGGCACGGACAGACAGACCTAGAGTGGACAGACACCCGTGCCAACTTCTCCACCCCAGTGGGCTGAGACCCCTTGTTTTGGGGGACTGGCAGGCATCGTAACATGGAGTTTGGCCAGAAATTTCCCCTGCAGGCAGGCGAGCAGGAAACAAGCCTTGGAGAGGCTGAGTCATGGTCCTGTCAGGGCTGGATGGAGGAGGGAATCCAATGTCCAGGCCAAGGCTCTGGGGGAATCCCAGCGTGGGAGCAGCAGATTATTTTTTCTATTGCTTGTTCCTCAAGCAGGGAACATATCACTCAGCATTGGGGAGGGCTCCTCAGCAGGACAATGCTGATGCTGCCCTCGGGGTCTCTGGAGACACAGGGGACAATTTCCAGCTAGTGAGGACAGCTGGGAGATGGGGAGGCCGGACAGAGCAACAAAGGAGACTGAAACGAGGGGAAAAAAGTGGGTGACCAGAGCAGGGCTAGTTATATGGAGAGGAGAGCTGGGGGAAAACACTCAGGAGCATCCACACAGACTCCAGCAAGTGCTGTCTGATCCATGCGCCCACCCTGGACATATTTCCAGGCTGGTGCTGCAGCCCAGCAGCCAAAGAAAGCAGCTGTGAAATGTAAGCTGCTGCCTGTGCCAAGGTGCTGGGCTCCAGGCTTTCCTATTAAGGCCACGACCATCGCTGGAGCTGCTGAGCTGCAGAGCCTCTCCCGGGGGCTGGCTGTGCCACGTAGGCATCCCTTGCTGTGCTGGGGACCAGGGCTGGCAAAGGGCATCACCCAGCCCCAAGCAGCAGCAGGCACAGCACCCAGGTCAGACATGGGCTGTCATTGCTCCATCCTGGGTGCCTCCTTTGGGGTTGCTGTGCCCGAGTCCCATCATGGCTGAGCTAGATGTGGCAGGGGTACCTGGACCTATCTCACTTTTCTGCTGCCCCCCAGGAGATGCCATGACAGGGTAGAGCTGGAGGGGCAAACACACATGCCTTTGGGGATGATCTGGCTGTGCTGACAATTATCCAATTATGGGAGAAACCTCTTGGAAGGGAGAAATAATCAGCCCTGAGGGCTGAGCCCAGCCCTGTGCAGCTCCATGTTGGCTGCTAACAAGCACTGCCACGCTCTGTGCCCTCCAGCAGCAGGGAGGAGGCGGAGGAGAGCTGGTAACTCACTCAGGGCTGCTAACTCACTCATTTGTCTAATTAACACTCTGCAATCAGTGAGTAACCCCAATACCCTTGCTAGCCTGGGGATATGCCATCCCTAGGCTGAGGGAGCTGTGCCAGGTCTGCCAGTCTGCAGTGTCCCCTTTGGGGTCAGGCAGTTGTAGAGGGGCCACATCCTGTCCCACACTCTTTGGCCAGGGCAATGCAGCAGCTGGTGCTCAGGTCTCCTCGCACACTGACCACGCAACCATTTTCTCTGCCTGTTTTTCCAGCCTGAGAGCTCAGTTCCTGCTGCTGCCATTTGTTGTTCAGCCCCTGCTGGCTGCAGGGAAACCCACTTCACGCCTGTTAGTGGAGGCTGCGCAGGGGAGGGACAAGACACTGCTCCGTGCCAGCCCATGAGAAGGTGGCTGCAGAGGGGATGGGTGCAACTATGGCCAGGTCCTGTGGCTTCCCAGGAGTGTTAACTGGAGCTGGCTGCAGAGATGTCCAGCCCTCTGCTGGCTCCCTGCCCTGCCATGCAGAGGAGCACTGGGGCAGTCAGTGCCGTCCCTGCATCCTGTGGGAGCAGGGCCAGATTGGGCCCTGCCATGGAATGTCTCCTCTCGCTGCTGCCCTCATGGCTCAGCCAGCCACACTTCCCAAGGCTCCCTTGGGACCAAAGGCATCCCAGGCAGTAGGGAAGTGGGTTACAAGTGCTGAGCTGGATCACAAACCCAGCAGTCACCGGGATGCCTTTCCTGTCACCGGGACGACATCACTCCTGGCCAGAAGCCGGTCACAAATCCAGCATGGTGTGTGGCTTCCCAAGACATAGATAAGACTGTGCACCCATTCAGCTCTGCAGCATTGCTGGGACACCACTGGGACATCTCCAGGACGTTGGTGGGACACTGCCCCACAGCCCAGCCCCCTTTGAAGCAGCAGCATGCAATCAGGATACGGCCACACCAGGCACTGTGCCAGGGACAGGGCAGACTCCACACACCGTGCAGAGCTTGGGCCAGTGGGAACTGGGCACAGCTCGGGTGGCTGGGGACACAGAAAGTGGCTCTAGTGCACGGGGGAAGACTCAAGAGCCTCCTAGGGAGAGGGGAGCAGAGGCACCTGGTGCCTGCAGGGTGGGATGAAGCACACCCCACTGAGGCAGGCACTGCTCGGGTTTCACAGGCATCTGCAGAACGGTTTGGGTTTCAGTGACATGAGCAGGGATGGGGGATCCTGTGGTGCAGGGCCGGGACACCTGCTACAGGCAGAGCCTTGGGGACACCCCCTGGGTCCCCCTCACCTCTCTGAGCTTGTCCATCTCGTTCTGCACCACCTGCTTGGCCAGCTCTGTCTCGATGAGCCGCTGGCGCAAGTCCTCGTTCTCCTCCTCCAGCCTGATTCTCTTCTTCTCCACCGCCTCCAGCTCATTGTGGAGCCGCATGGAGACATCCTTGGCCACCTGGGGACACAACGGGGCTACCATCAGGCTAGGTGCAGTGTGCCTGGGTGGGATCACAGTGTCTAGGCACCTACAGCCCTCAGGCAGAGATCATCAGGCTGTTACTGAGACCCCCTGGAGCAGACATCATGCTGGGTGACACCCTGGCCCCTGTGTCTCCTCCATTGTGTGCTGTGACCACTATTCCCCCTTCACCATGTTCATGGCTGCCCCATGTCCCCATCCAATGGCCAAACCCTGCCATCTCCAGCCCTAACATGATGCTCATCACCTTTTTGTACTTTTTCCTCCACACCGTGAGGCTGGAAGAGCCCCTGTCAGGGTTGGGAAAGCTGGTGGGCAACACAAGAGCAGGCAGCACTTCAGGCAGCAGCTGTGCAGGCCTGGAGAAAGGTGAGCTGCTGCATCACCTTATGGAAGAAAACACCAGCTGCCCCTGGGGTGAAGGGTGCCTCCATCCATCCCAGCCCCCACATCCCTGCCAGGGAGCAGCCTTTGGCACACAGGGAGCTTAACAGCATGAAGCATTCATGGGGGAATCTGCAGGAAGGGATAAACTGTCCCAAATCTGCCCAGTCCCCTGCCCATCCCAGGGTACCAGAGCTGTGGAGGCAGCAGCAAGCCCCACCGCAGGGCTGGGGGGAGCTCAGGCCATGAGGTCAGGCCTGTTCCCATCCCCACCCCAGGATGAGCTGTGCTTTCTTTCCCAGAAAGGGAAAAGCTGGAGGGCAGGGGGATTTGGCAGCAGCACCTCAGGCTGGGGGCTGCGGGGTGGTTTATGGAGGGGATCTGGCCCCCAGCAGGGATGGGCAGAGGGGGTTCACAGCCCCACACTTGCAGCATGTCTCCAAAAACTGAGCTACTGCTCGAGCTGCTGCTTGTCCCCCACCTCAAGCTGCCTCCAGCTGCTACCACACCCGCTGCTGGCAAGAGCCCTCCGCAAACACTCACTGGCACCGGCGGCGCCCTC